TCAGGTTTGTTTTAGCAATGAATGCACTTTCTAAATTCTAGCAAACAAACATCAATTTGTGAGAAGGCGCCCTGGTGAAAAGTATCATTCAGATTGTGTCATCCAGACTGTGAAATATCCAGTCAAGGCAATGATTTGGTCAGTGATCAGTGGCAAAGGCACAGGATGTCTGTATTTGCTTAAGTGCATCATGAAACAAGACCAGTACAAGCAAGTATTGGAGAAACGACTGCTGCCTCAACTACAGGAATTGTTCACAAATGAAGAATCATTTGTTTTTATGCAAGATGGGGCACCATGTCATACTGCTCGAACAGTTTGATCATTTTTGTTGGAGAAAAATGTTCCTGCGTTACCATGGCCAGGAAATTCACCAGATATGAACCCCAAAAAAAATGTATGGGAGCTCATGAAGAGGGAAATTGCAAAGGAAGAAATAACAACAAAAATTTGCCTCCTTGAGAAAATGATTCAAGTCTGGCACCATCATCCAAAGTTGCAAGAAACAGTCCAGGCATGCATTAATAGCATGCCAAAAAGAATTAAAGCTCTAATAGCCACCAAAGGTGGCCTGACAAAGTAATAAAGATATACATGTGCATGAAGATTTTTTATGAAAATTAGTTTATATATTATACTGACAGTCATAATTTTGCATATGATATCTTGTTTGTATCGTAAGTATTCAATTATAACTTATGTATTTCATTAGAAATAAAAAAATACATTTTTCATCACAAAAACGTAACTTTAATTGAAAATTTGGGGTGCGTCTAATAATATGGCCAGGGACTGTATATATAATGCGGGCAGCCATTGTTCCCCACATGTTACAAATACATTTTCTTTTCCATTATATTATGTTATTTTATTTATAATATTATACCTGAATATACATTAGTATGAGTAGTTTCAAATTTCAGTAAAATAAATTATAATATTATTATTATAAACTTCAAATTAAATTGTTTATTATCACCTGGTGATATTCTGTGTTTTATTTTTATTGCTAAGGAAATAGCTCTAATTTCTATTTCATCATTAAGGCACTCATAATTACTACAATAAAGTCTTTAGGAAAAACACTTTGTTTATTATTTTTTTTTGATTATGTTAATAGAACAGAAAAGTGGTGAAAATGTGAAGAAAAGAAAAGTACTTTCGGAAGTGGTTGATGGCAGCTGGGAAGAGGATGGGGCAAAACCGAAAAGGTAGCCCAGACTAAAGACATTTGGAAACAAACTCGTGTGAAAGACTGAGTCTTTCTGTAGCACTACCAGTTAATAATAGTTTTACTATTACTTTAAGAACTATGAGGGAAGATTCCATGTAATAAAGAACAGTTTATATTTAAGTCAGTAATTTCAGTATGTGAGGTGTAATTATTTTAAGAATAAAATCTGGAATGTTATCTATTCCTGCTGAAGATTTGTGTGATAACATATTTATTACATTTAGATTCTCATTAGGTTTTGTTCCATATATGAACATGCTAGGAGATATAGATTCTATGTTGGATGTTGTTTACAAGCTTTGTTGAAATATTTAAAAATTTATTGTTAATGATGTTGGCAATTTTCTTAGATGTTACTGTGTGTTTGTTATCAGCTATTTGAAAGATTTTATCTCTACTTTTCTGGGCATTTGTTTGCCTAATAACATCCCATATGCCCTTCATTTTATTGTTTGATTTAGCATTGAATTCAGCAGTTGCAAGTTTCTTTGTATGGGTTATTTCTTTGTTGAGATTTATTCTGTATTTTTCATGTGAGAGTGCACTGTTTTCTGGTAAGTGTTTTGTGAGTATGTATAGATTTCTCTTTCTTTCACAAAACATTTTTATGCCTTTATCCACTGTTTGGATTTACTACTTGATTTTACTTTAACTGAAGTGGGAGGGATTTGTCAAAATGTAACGCAATTGTATTGGAAAAAACTGTGAAAATATTATTTACTTTTGCCTCATTAATGACTTCAGACCATGTTTCTTCTAAAAGATGATGTATGAACCATTTATGTTTTTTGAGCAAGTTTATGTTTCTACAAATGCAGTATGTTTGATTTTCCTTTTGATGTGTATTGTATGGAATTAGTTGGAGTAATTGTGTGTAGGGAATACCAAAGTATGTTTCAGAATAAGAGGTACATATATGTGATACGAGCTTTGGCTGTTTTGATATAGGGGTTATTCTAGTAGGTTCAGGAAAGGTTTATATCAAGGCTATACAAGTTAGACTGAAAAAAACCTTTTTGTTTTTGGAATTCTCCAATATTAAAATCTTCCAAGAATAAAATGAATTTTTTTGTAAACTTAAATGATCAAGAGTATTTTCAATAAATTTAAGAAATTCATGAAAGCTTTCAGGTGCTCTCTGGGTGATATACACATACAAGTAAGGAAGGAATTGAAAGTATATCAACTACAGTACTATGTTTCATAACTAATTTGTTATTAGATGGGCAATAGTTGTAACAAAATCTTTGGTTTAATATTCTTTAACATATATACATGTTCCACCATATGCACCAAAGGATCTTCATCTTGGCTATATTAGTTTTTAGAGACTGCATAATTTGATAGAATATCGTAATAGCAGCCGACCTAGATAACTAAGATGGCTAAGAATGTGTACTGTCTCAGAAAGTTCACAGTTAGTCTAAAGATTCAAGTCCCACCTTGGGCAAGATAATTTGCCCCTTGTCTCTCATGTACGTGATGACACAAAGTGCTTCACATTCTGGTGACCCCAACTGTGTTGGTGTCTAGGTATGGTCACTTATGCGTCCCATCAGGATGTCCCAAGATTTGCAATTTTAATGTGTCTTTAGATAGGAACATGGTTTCCGTGTTTCCTTGAAGAATTTCATTTGTGGTGTCATGTCTGAGTGTCAGGTTTTAAAAAATGAGATAAAGAAAGAAGGAATCATCAAAGGAGATGTTTTCCTATATTAGTACTAACAACACTAATATTTCACATCATTTTCAGAAGAATGTATTGAACGAAAACAATTCTGCTTAAAACTCATGTTGAACCAATGCCAAACTACCTCTTTTTAAAAAGATGTGTAAGGTGCCTGGAGGAAGGAAGAAATTAATCTTAGAACTTGTGTAACACTTATTAGTTGGCAAAGTCAGTAAAAAAACAAAAGAATAATTTAAGAAGTAATATTCTACATTCCAAACACTAAAGAATGAAAGGGTTAAAAAAATCAACTAAGTATGTTAAGGAGTTTTTGATGTTGAAACTTCTGATTTTTTTCCATACACATCAAACCTCTGAATATCAATCATTATTCGTTTACCTGTAATTCACACTTCAAAGTAACATCTGCATCACTAGGTAAATTTATAAATTACGTCTGACTTGAAAGAAATGGTACGACGTTGTTCAGACATGAATGTTGAAAAACATAAAAGCGTTTGAATCATGCGCCAAGAAGGAAAGAATCAGGATTGGATACGTTTGGTAATGCATCCAACATAACAAACCTAAAACGCAATATTTGCACATCATCGACGCAATTCTGAAGTTCTTCATGCAAAACACGCCGAACGGAAACGAAAACAATCGTCACGGCTTGTGATATATACTACTTTTAGAAAGGTAAGGTTATGAAAATAAATATTCATATTCGAAATATTTTGAATGTTTTTCGGTATTTAATGACAATAGAGGGAAGAGAAATGAATTAAATTCTTGGTTTCATTTTTCGTGATTGAAGTTGACTTATGTTTTGTTACAGACGAATTCAGCCGCATTTGCCCACATCCTTTGATATACATTTCTAGTTATAATGCTTCGAATTCCACACTGCCTGGCTTCAAGAAGTCAAGTAAGAAACGTGGTGTTTTTGGTTCACCCACGGTGGAAATGTTTCCACCGTTCCACCATGGGTGCTCTAAGAACGTAATAATTTAGTTCCAGAAAATAATTCTGTGTATATGTATGTGTATATAAAGGCATAAATGTGTATAAGGCAGGCATAAAAACTGTGATAATAACTGATTGGTTAATGTGCAATTAATAAGTTTGATTGCATTTTAGAGTTTTCTGGGTTTTCAAATAAACCGAGGATTCATCACTAGTGGTTTTAATTGGTCTGAAAATAATTCAGATAATGAACCACGAATTCCTCCTTATGTAGAAAAAATTGATGAGCCACTTGAATTGAAGAAAGCAAGGTTTGTAAATGAATGCACTGAGAAAATGAAATGTGTTTTAGATAATAAGGAAATCTTTTTCAATAAACTGTATGTTTTTTTGAAATTGTTTATTTGTAGGTTGCTGTATCAGTCACGCAAACGAGGAATGCTGGAAAATGGCTTGTTATTGAGTACTTTTGCAGCCAAGTATCTCAACACAATGACTGCAGAGCAAACCAAACAATATGATAGACTGATTAATTTACCTTCAAATGACTGGGACTTGTATTACTGGGCTACAGGTGTAAAGCCTGTTCCTAATGAATTTAACAATGAAGTTATGAAACTTTTCCAAGAACATGTGAAGAATAAAGACAGAGAATGTAGAATTCGTCAACCTGATTTGTATGAAACTGCAACATAATAGAAATAATGTACATTTTTTCTTCTGTTTTTGTAAATAGTTATATGAAGTTGAAGAGTTATGTAAGTTATTAAATTTGTTGAAATGCATTTCTTTAATAAAAAAAACAAACAATAAAAGCTTTTGACATTGCATTATTTATTTTTTTGCTTTCCCCACCAATAAATTTCAGCAATATAAAATTTTTATTATAGTGCAGTGTCGGGAGGGTAGAAAAGCAAGTGCATTTGGGCTTTAACGTTTTCAAAATGGTGATGTGACATACGTACAGGATTAATGAAATATGATTTTCACAAGCTTGCGGATTACTTGAAAAATTTGGTGCAATGATTTTCTTGCTTGTTCCTTGTTGCAGTTCTTGAAAATACTTTATTCTTTGCATCATCCCCACATTCTGTTAGCATACGTTGGCTACCCTGATATGTTCAGTCGAGTTTGTATCGGATTGTGTTGTTGCAAATAATAAGAGAAATTTTAAATGCTAGGTGATCATTTATTTTATTTAGTTTGATATTTTGACCATTGTTTAGACGAAAGTTCTGTGTAACAGTGGTAAACTTGAACGTATGTTCCTCAACTGCCATACTGTGCAAAATCCATCATGGCAGGTTTCTGGTTACGTCAATTGGGAACAAGATTCAGGCAGTGTATTTGCTGTTCTTAAAATATCAAGAAAAGAAGATAGCATGTAAGTCGTGCTTGTAAGATCTTGTAACAGTGATGTGCTTTTGTGAGAATCCGAGTGAACTGTGCATGATTTATAGTGCATGCACTTAGGGTGAAGGTGAGGGTTATGCAAGCGACAGATGTCACTTGTGGTATAAAGTGAGGGTATGCGAGACTCGTGCTTCAGTCTCTAGTTGGAACAAGAGGCGGTAATAATGAACTTGCATTCTGCGGAGCATGGTCCAATGAGACTGCATATGACCATCGAAGAGAATGATTTAATTAACGGTTCCTTAACAGTTCTTGCAGCTATACGCCCGGCTTGGAGTAAGGATAAAATAAAGTTTAAGGTATGTGACTTTTATAATATTTTGGGGTTGTTGAATTTGCTTTATGTAAGTAGTGTGTAACTAGCTATTCGGATTAACGCCGGGACTCGCTTCAGAGTCTTTTACGGCGTTTCTGATGTACAGGTTATATTGTGCATGAAGCATTTTTCAGAACTTATGTACGCTTTTTGGCGCAAATAAGCTGTTGGATTTGTTGCATGTGTTTAAAAGTGCCATTGAAGTTTATGTGTACTTCAAGCTGTGGACGTGTTGTCAATATATTCCGTGATTTGTGTAGCTTCCAATTCCTCACGAAGTTAACAACTTATCCCGGGCTTTTCGAATTAACTCATAATTATCGAATACCAACATTGAAACGGATTGTTTACTATTCCCATAGTGTAGTAATGGTGTAATTTATTTACCTTCATTGAATGAACCTTTGGTTACTAATGTGATTATGATGTGACGGCAATTATAATGTGTGTGTTCGTCTTGTGGATTGTCCAGTGACTGAACATGAATACTTCGAGACGAACTTAACTTACGTAATTTTCAAGGACGTAAAAACGTGGTTGTTGCGAGATCAGCGCTGGCCTCAATTTCGTGCCTACACACCCGAACACCCAAGTCGCGTTTATGCTCCACAACTAATGAATATAGCATAAAAACATAGCGGGCACATCGTTCACGACATCGTAAAACCGAATGTGGTAATTGCCATAGTTTGGAAGAAAACAAATCACATGTGAAAATATGGTTTGAAAATTATATTTCGCGGCGCGGTGTTTGTCAGTCGTCTTAGGAGGCGGTGAATTGAAAGTCGATTTGATGCGCAGGTCTGATGAACCTAATGTCATGGTTTGGTTTGTTTACCGGAAAGGCACGGCATTCCATTAGAAACACATGGTGGTTTTCTGCTTCTGACACTACATAGATGGAAACGAAGTGGAATGTGTATAAAATTTAATATAGTTTGAACACTTACTTCTCAAATAATGGCTGTTACCGAGAAGTTACTGTGATGGCAGAAGAAATAATATAATTAATTGGTGAACCTCGCCAAATCTTTTAGCAACGCGCATTAATGAATAGAATTCGAATTCTAAATGTGTCCATGGCGTGAATTTGTGAAGCGGGCGTGGTTGATATCAAGAAATCATTGTCCAGGTGGCTGATGTACGGGATATTAAGAAGAATTGAACAAACTTTGCTAGGGGTACTAACAATCGTTTCGTGTTCGTTCTGAAAATGTAACTCAAAAGTTTACTAGCTATTAAATTTTTAAGTACTTTTTTTTAGTTGATTAAGATTTTATTAATATTCGAATATTCGAGTATTGCAATTAAAGATACGCGTCAGTCACATGCAATTCGGTGCGCGAGTGTAGGGCCTTGATAAAAGCTATTTCCTTCTTTAAAAAACAAGATGTAATTAGATCGTCAGTGAAAAATTAGTTGAATGGTTTCTGTTTTTTCTTCCCGACTGTACACGAATGTGCATGCATTTCTACTCTATTAATTTGTGTATTCAGATTAAATTGATTACATTGTGTACGGTTCGGAATTAGACAATTTTCACTTAATTCTGAATTAACTTTACCTTAAAATTGTCATGTTCATGGAGACGGGTTTGGAATACCCCTCCTCCCTCCTTGGATAAATTGCTTGCACTCGCTAAGTTCAAATGTATGGTAAACTCCGCACAGTCACGTCAAATTATTACAAACGTTTCAAAAAAAAAAAAAAACACAAAAAAAAACGAAAAAACATTATAGCACCTTGGCTCATTAGCAGTAGCTAAATACATCATGAATGATCAATTACTCCAATTTGAATTTCTGTCAAAATGAACTGAATTTTTTATTCCAAACTGCAGTTCCTGCCTCGCACCACTATTTTCAACCATGGCAAATTTACAAATTCAAGAATCAGAATCTGTTCCCGCTTCTCTAAAGACGGTTTTCGACCACCATACATATTTTGTAGACTTAGGTCTATGAACAAAAAATAAAAGATACATGCATTCAAAGCCGTTTAAGACCAAATCCGGGCAAAATAACACGCTAAGTAATAAAACTACGCGTATAATTACCATCAGGCAAATGTTCAGTCAGCTAAAATATCAATAGCAAAAATTCCGTCGTTTAATTTCGATCGCAACCAAACACAGGTTGGACACAGCTCTCAGCGTGGGCACAGTAATTCTTGATCCGCATGCGTAGAAAGATTACATATCCCCAGCCATGAGGCGTGCTAGGAATGTGTGTCGATTCTAAGACACAGAAGATTATTGCTAAAAACATCGTACCAGGGTCAATTAGTCCATAATTAGTAAAATAAATCGTATATATTACAAATGCAAATAGTATGATTGTATAAAATTATTTTGTAGACTTATCTTGCTCAAGGATTAAAGAAAATTAATTTAAAGATCATTTTTAATAAATCACCACGATGCCCCTCCGAACAGCGACCAGTTTGAAAACCCCCGGAGTGGGGAATATCTAAATTTAGAAGAATCGTCTCAACAGTTTAGACGCTAGCGTTGACCACAGACGGTCAGTTGTCATTTTTACGCATATTTTCCCTTTTCGTTTTTTGTTGTGAATGTTTCATGAATTTACAATGACTCAGTAAAACAAAGATTGTATTGTTTCAGTTCATGTCGAAAATCACTACTGCAATGGACTCTGTTTTTCTCAACTCTCAAAATTACACGAATCTTCGGTAACTTCCTCGATCTTTCAAAACCGACGGTTGGAAGATCAGAGCCAAGGATTACATTTCCCCCTAAAATGAAGACTTTATATTAAATATAATTTTTATAAGTTTTTTGTAATAGTAGAATTCATGGAATGAGTATTTTTATACAAATTTTTGAGTTTTTTTAAGTGAGGTCATTTCCCCCCTTTTTTTAAGTTTTTAGGTAATTTTTCTATTATTCTTTATAGGTAATTTTCGAAGATTTTTTTTAGGTAATCAGAATTCGAGCCTAGTTGACAATTGATATTTTTTTTCTTAATGAATTCTGTTCTTCAATTTTAGATATTTAAATAAGGTCATGTACATTTTTTTTAAATATAGAAGTTCTTTAGTGTAACTTTTCAATATTACTTTTTAGAATTTCCCGCGTGTCCTTCACTGAAGTCTTTTAGGAAATGTGGGGTCGCCAAACGACAATGACAACATTGCGATACGACAGTTTGAAGTTCTTAAAATTCCTTCTCATAGTTGGGCGATGTATCTTGCTGTACGTAAAGCAGTTTTTGTGTTGAAGCACTAGCTTGAAAATAGTTAGTTTTTACCCTTAATACGCTCCAATTGCTTGTGTGTTTTACAAGCGATTACTGTGATGTGTTAATATGAACAGAAATTGCGGTATCATAACGCCTGTTAACCGTTACTTGCACGAGTAAGTACGTGATGTTGTAGCAACACTAATATGTTTGCCGTGTGCTTACCAATTAGTTTCTCGATAAAAAATCTCGAAACAAAACTGAAAAGGTTGGTGAGTGTTGAATGATTGTTGTTGTTTTCTCTTGCGAAAGGATCGTAAATTTCTTTTATCTGAAATGTCTGTAGATTAAAACAGTTCTCTACCAGCGTGTCAGTTCTGAAATTGACGAAATATGTTTCGCTCCCGCGGCTTCGATCGGTTTTGAACCCGCAAATCTGGTTATAACACTCCTATACACAAACCGTTACCCCAACCAAAGCCAAATGGTTTTTGTAGTTTTCCTACGGCTCTGAACACATCTGCTGGGATGGTTCTTTGACTCTTGATCAAAAATTCCCGACTCTTTCTTGAATCGGCCACTATCAAAACAAGGGTTTGCAGATCCCCATCATAAAAAAGGGCTTTTCAGCACATACATAATCATCGTTATTCAAAACGAGGTATCTTTTGCTATACTATCACACAATCAAATAAAGTTCTACAAAACTTTATGAAAGTTTTATTATAATTATAAATAATTATTTATAATTATAATTAATTAAATGACATTTGAATGTTTTATACAATGTTCTCTCCGCTATCATAATCATCTAATTTCTAGATCCTGTCTCAGTCTGTTTTGTGTGCCTTCGTCTGCCACGTGTACTTTATTTACGTCTTCGAAGAAACAGTACACGCGTAAGTCAGCGGAAGACAGTTTAGTTGTGAGTTTAAACGGCATTACAAACGCTGTATTGTATTTGTCTTGCATTTTAACATCAAGTCGGCGAGAACCGGAATATCTTAACCGAGTATGTTAGAATCTGCGTCTTATCGTTTTGGTTCAAGTATTGATATAACTTGAGGGTACATGAACCTTATCTAGCGTGAAATGGAGCTTCCCGCTTATAGCTGCATATTCATTGAGAGAAAGTCTTGAGAATAAATATAACGTTCCCCAATCTTTTGGTTTTAAAAATCCTAAAATATTATGTATGTTCCTTTCGTCTCGGAATGTTTTGGGTAGAAATTAACTTTGTTTTCAGAGGGTTCACGAAGCCCTTGATTCCAGTCTTCAACTTTAATAAATTATTTTCTTTCATTTCCCTTCTCACCTTTTCTTTCATTACAGAAAGGTGTAGTAACACTATTAACAAGAACGTGACTCTGACATTAGAATAATGGAGACATTACAGAAAGTTGAGAATCTTCTCAGTGAAGTGTGATGTCAAACTGGCATGACATGCCCCCTTGAAAATGTACGAGATCAGGTATCCGTATTTTAAAACTAGCCTACTGTGCGGTTGTCAGTTTACGATTTATTACTTTCTCGAAACATTACTTACATTGTAGTCTATTAGCAGTTTTATCGTGCAGAAGATGAGGTAGAAGATTTTATATTATTTTAATTATGTATAAGAAAACATGAAATTTTCGAACAGTTTTTTGACTTTCGCGACATAACGTTTTAATAGTTGATCTTGGTGCAAAAATGGTAATGCACAGTTTTAAATGATTTAAAAATCTCTACACAGATGTTCCATAAATGATTTTTTAAATCAAATAATAAGAGAGCTACAAGG